GGGGGGGGGCACCCACACCGAGCTCAGTGCTGTACTCAGCAAGATATATATTTATATATGAATTTTGTTTCATGAAAGGTGCTACTGACATCGAAAACATCATACAAGCAGTGCCTTGGTCAAGGTTTGCTTACAGTGCATGCTCCAGGCTGAAAAACATCGATATTCACCTTGAACAAGCAGTCGATGGGCGCGGATGGGACTTTGGACATCAAGTTCATCCTCTGCCATAAGAACGATTTATCATTCCCCTCAGATTCCTATAACACACAATCGGTCATCAGTAGGAGACACAACCGGGACGTGTAGACAAAGCATCACAGTCATGAGCAATTACCCATTCAAAATAAACAAATAAAAGACACTCGGGGAACACTCCGCATCTTTTCACATGATGTTCAACAACTGGTTTACTGACAAACTGTCTGGCTACAGGGTGGTAATAAAGGCGATGTTCTAGGGGAGGGTTTATAGAAAATGCTCCGCCCACTCAGTACTGCCCATTACTAATGGGGGGGGGTGTCGGTGGTTGCAGCGTTCTAATTCGCATTGGCGATTAGGGACAAAAGCCCCTTCCATTGGTGATCAGGGAAGAAGAATCCCCCTTCCATTGCCGATCAGGGAAGAAGAATCCCCCTTCCATTGCCGATCAGGGAAGAAGAATCCCCCTTCCATTGCCGATCAGGGAAGAAGAATCCCCCTTCCATTGCCGATCAGGGAAGAAGAATCCCCCTTCCATTGGCGATCAGGGATGAAGAATCCCCCTTCCATTGGCGATCAGGGATGAAGAATCCCCCTTCCATTGGCGATCAGGGATGAAGAATCCCCCTTCCATTGGCGATCAGGGATGAAGAATCCCCCTTCCATTGGCGATCAGGGATGAAGAATCCCCCTTCCATTGGTGATCAGGGATGAAGAATCCCCCTTCCATTGGCGATCAGGGACAAATGCCCCTTCCATTGGTGATCAGGGAAGATACCCTTACAGATAGCTAAAGATCATTTGTGATGTTGCTAGCTCCATTACGTTGAACTGGATATATGCTGACACCATCAGATGGGAGGTCATTCAGCCCCAGCTCAAGGAACCCCTAACAACCCCTTGAAGGAACCCTAGTTTCGAATGGCTTCTTTAGAGGATCCCTAAGAGGATTCCCCATATGGTGAACACTAAAAACAGTGAAAAAAAAAGCAAAAAATAAAAAAGCACTGAAAACAGGGTTACCAAAGAGGAGAGGTATTGGATGTTTTTGGTGTGCCACACTTGAATACAAGCAAAGGAATGAGCTGGACTTGAAATTCCTTCTAGTTCATGACCTGGATATATGCAGACACCATCAGATGGGAGGTCAGTCAGCCACAGCTCAAGGAACCCCTAACAAGCCCTGAAGGAACCCTAGGTCACCCAGCTGCTGCCCCGCATGGGATGTCAGTAGGGAAAGCTGTATGCATCTCCAAATACAAATCTTTGGCACGCACATGAAATATTATTTATTGAGGGTTGGTTAGAGATCCGCTTCCAATCACTAAGGACGATAGGCCCTTTATTACCTGTGCATCCTGCTAACCCAGCCATCGTCTCCGGACCCACTTCCTCTTTAAACTGCTCACTCAACATCCCCATTGCCTTAAAATCCACTGCAGAATTTCAGATAAACTGTCCCGCACAAGACAGCAACACCTCTCTCTGCAAACCCATACCCGGCGCCTTTAGATGGCTTCTTGCTCTGCTAATGCAGTGAATTAGGACCAATTACCCCGAGCGCAGGATGACCACAGATCACAACATCAAATGTTAGGGAGATGAAATATTCATTTTTGACAAAGGGCTGACCATTACTAAAAACAGTATTGATTGGTTTTTGCATTACAGATAATGGCAAAAGGTTGTGTGAACACACTAATACATAGTTAAGGGGTAAAGGAAATCCGGACTTTATGATGGAGATCAGAACAATCTTCCTTGAGAGTGTTCATATCGCCCCCAACATGTGAATGGATTTGGCTATATTTGTGGTCAGAGTCTGGACAGGAACATGCATGACAATCCTACGTACAGCGACCCGAGGTGTGCCTTGGCCGCATAAGACACTATGCCTAAAATGGGGGCATACTCAAGAAGGTGCAGTGTAAAAAAGGGGTATGGGTGGGTGGGATACCCGAAAACCCCAACAGCCAGCCTCCTCCCACAAATTTCTTCTTACTTATCAAGAACGTGCACTTTTTTTTTTTTACATGCATAGTAGGGGCCATTTTTAAATTTCAAAGCCTAACTCTGGCCTCCGAATCAACCCCCCCAATCGGGGTTCCTGCACCCACGAAAAACAGAACTTAATGTGAAACTATTTCCACCATTTTAGATGGGCTGGGTATAATTTAGAACATCTGTTTAGTTGTATTTTCTGTCTGTGTCCCCCATTTGGAAGGATGCACCTTAACTTCCTGTGATGGTGGTCGCTGATTTTACATGTCGCTATTTCAGTGGGTGATGCAGACCTGCAGTCTTTAGCTATGCAGTCTACTGATCAGTTGCTTGATCACACTCTAGAGCAACAGCAGCAATACCCATCAATAAGCATTGCTACTGCCGTGTACTCACCGCTGCTGTCGCAGAAAGGTTTCCTTGCCGGATGAATACAATAGCGGCCTCAAAAGAGGTCAGACAGTAACCCAGTTCATCCTTGGCTGTACTGCAGAATCTGAAGTTCTTGATATAACTCAAGTTTGCAATCCTGAAGAATGAAGAACACAAAAAGCTTCAAATGACCTCTGACCGCCCATCAAGCTGCAGAGTCGGGTTCAGAGAAAATTAAGCCAAATAAGGAGGCAAATCTAAATGTTGTTAAAAAAAAAAAAAAGAAGAAGGACTTTACAATCCTGACTGATCGGAGCTATAAATAGGGAAGTACCGATACCTATACTAGTATCAGTGCCGACACAGAGTATTTGGGCAAGTACGAGTATGCTCCCGATACCTTCCCCGATACTGGAACTTCCGGTCAGAGGAAGCTTTCCACTCACCGGCATTGCCATAGTGGAACACGGAGCTGGCTTCCTGTGCGATCAGGAAGCTGGGCGGCGAGTAATGACCCAACTCCCGGCTTCCTGATTGGCGAGAAAGCCGGCTCTATGCATTACTCGCTGGCTTCCTGACTGGCTGGGAAGCCGGTTACCCAGCCAAGCAGGTTAGATAACATGCAGCCAGCTTACCGGGCAGATTACCCGGGAAGCTGGCTCCATGGCAGCGGAAGCACCGGTATTGGTACTCGGTATAGTAGCGAAAGCAAAGTATCGGTACTCGGTGCATCCCTAGCTAGGAAGGAGAGAAACTTTCTCCATTAACAACTTTGATGAAACCAGCAGCAACTATATGGCATATGGAATATAAAAGACAGCAAAGTAACTTACTAAGCAAAAAAAAAACTGGACACAGTCTACGAGGAGGATCTATTTTTGGGGTCAGTTCAACCTAAAATGACATTTTTGTTTTTCACTGGGATTTCTGCTTTGCCTTTTTCTGTATCAACATTATGTAAGTACGGGCTGACCTTTATAGACTCCTCATTGATTACATTATCCGATACACTGTGACAACTCATAGAACATATTTGTCAGCAGCCACCTACCAGTTAGGAATCTCCGTCTTCACAAGCAAGTAAAGCAGCACAGACAGGAGGTCATCTGCACACATAGTCTCCATGTTCACTAAGAGAATACAATGTACACAAAAAAGGAAGAAATGTAAAAATACAGCTGAACATAACTAAGTAACCGATGTGTAACAAACCACGGTGAGCAGATTGGCTCGCTCTCTGTCCCCTGCCACTTTAGTTGGCACTGACCTCTCTGGCTTAGTGACTGCATTATGGTGTGGTTGGCACTGACCTCTCTGGCTTGGTGATTACATTATGGTGTGGTTGGTACTGACCTCTCTGGCTTGGTGACTGCATTATGGTGTGGTTGGTACTGACCTCTCTGGCTTAGTGACTGCATTATGGTGTGGTTGGTACTGACCTCTCTGGCTTGGTGACTGCATTATGGTGTGGTTGGTACTGACCTCTCTGGCTTGTTGACTGCATTATGGTGTGGTTGGTACTGACCTCTCTGGCTTGGTGACTGCATTATGGTGTGGTTGGTACTGACCTCTCTGGCTTGGTGACTGCATTATGGTGTGGACGACCTTCTTGAGACAAATGAGCTTCTGCTGCGGGGATGTGCACCGGTTCAGCTGGCCAAGAACTCGCTTCGCCCGGGGAATGTTAATGCTGCAAGAAAGCCATTTAAAATAGATAAGAGTAATAGGCATGCACTCTCTGGGGCTGACCCGATGAAGGAGTTGAAATGCTGGCACTAGATAGATGGAACCTACATTAACTCATTGAGTCAGATAAAACAGCAGTGGGTGAAAAGGCAGTTGTGAAAATGTAAATGTATTTCTCTGCGTTTGCTATAATACTAGGAAATTTGTGTCAATTCTGGTGTATGTGACATACCTCAGGCCACTTTATTTATATACCCCCGACAATTTACGTAGCACTTTACATAGTTGCACATTGACATCAGTCCCTGCCCTGAAGGAGCTTACAATCTAAGGTCCCTATCTCACATGCGTACATACATACAGGGCCAATTTAGACAGGAGCCAAATAACCATCCAGCATCTTTACTGCCCACACTTTATATGCAGTGGGCTAACTCAGGAGTATAAAACAGACAGCACTGTGTTGTACGTGACAAACTCCAGGTTACCCCACTCTATTCATCGTTCTGTGACATTCGCCAGGTTGCCTCAGGCCTTGTTCACACCAAATGCAGAGCAGATCCGGTCAGGTTTCTGCAGACGCAGTGCAGTGGGTTGTGCCGCGTTTTTGGTTAAAAAAAGAAATACATTTTAAGTTTAACATGGGCTTTCAGGCACTTGCATGCGTTTTTGATGCATTCCAGAGCAGACCCAGAGCAGGTAAAATAGGGCTTGCCGCAGTTTTTTCACCTGCTCTGGATCTGCACGCTGCAATGTGAACTGGAGGTCAAAATACCATAGGAATACATTGGACGCAGTTTTGATCCGGTCTGCACCTGCTCTGGTCTGGATCTGCTCCGCGCTTGGTGTGAACAAGGCCTAATAGCCTTGCTATATATTTACCAGTCACTTAAAATGTAGTTTGTCCATGCTGACTGACTTAGAATGTAATGCAGCAAAGCCATTGTGCAAGACTACCAAGCTAGCAAGCCGAGCCTGCATATATAATGAGCAATAATGGCTGCCCCCATGTACATATATACATATAAACTGCACACAGGAATTAAACTTTTCAAGACATTATCACAGACTAAATTATTTTAAATAGGATGATCAAGAACTTTAACTATATAAATAATGCCACTGAACTTATTTCACATGTATCCAGCCCTCTCCTAAAACCCAGCAAAAACGAATGATACAGATCCAAAGGAGATCAGATCGAAGGCAGTTATGAAGGGTCGGCGTGTCCAAAGTGGTGTAAAAAAGAAGTCTTTTTTGAAAATAGTTTTAAACACGAGTCATTATCACAGACTATCAAACCGCCACCTGATAACCTTCTAAAAAATGACAAACAACCATTGGACACACTCGCTTCATACAACACTTTAGGACAATCTGATCAACTTGGAGTATAGATCAGTTTTAGATGTCAGTATTGAGCTGACTGTTTCTTTTAATGCGCTCCTAAAACCTAATTTTGGGTGGCATTTCCTTACCTGAACTCTGTCTTAACCCCGATATCCCTCTGCTGGACGTCTTGGAGGCTCCTGGTAATCTTGTTGAAGGCGGCATCCTAACAATGAAACCCACACTGAAAATTAGGGCGTAAAAATATATATTCATTCTACTGATTCCAAAGGATTCATAATTTTTACAGTAATAATTACAGAGACACCGAGAGAGACACCGAGAGACACCGAGAGAGAGAGAGAGAGAGACACCGAGAGAGAGAGAGAGAGAGACACCGAGAGAGAGAGAGAGAGAGAGACACCGAGAGAGAGAGAGAAAGAGAGACACCGAGAGAGAGAGAGAAAGAGAGAGACACCGAGAGAGAGAGAGAGAGACACCGAGAGAGAGAGAGTGAGAGAGAGAGAGAGAGCGAGAGAGAGAGAGAGAGCGAGAGAGAGAGAGAGAGCGAGAGAGAGAGAGAGAGCGAGAGAGAGAGAGAGAGCGAGAGAGAGAGAGAGAGCGAGAGAGAGAGAGAGAGCGAGAGAGAGAGAGAGAGCGAGAGAGAGAGAGAGAGCGAGAGAGAGAGAGAGAGCGAGAGAGAGAGAGAGAGCGAGAGAGAGAGAGAGAGCGAGAGAGAGAGAGAGAGCGAGAGAGAGAGAGAGAGCGAGAGAGAGAGAGAGAGCGAGAGAGAGAGAGAGAGCGAGAGAGAGAGAGAGAGCGAGAGAGAGAGAGAGAGCGAGAGAGAGAGAGAGAGCGAGAGAGAGAGAGAGAGCGAGAGAGAGAGAGAGAGCGAGAGAGAGAGAGAGAGCGAGAGAGAGAGAGAGAGCGAGAGAGAGAGAGAGAGCGAGAGAGAGAGAGAGAGCGAGAGAGAGAGAGAGAGCGAGAGAGAGAGAGAGAGCGAGAGAGAGAGAGAGAGCGAGAGAGAGAGAGAGAGCGAGAGAGAGAGAGAGAGCGAGAGAGAGAGAGAGAGCGAGAGAGAGAGAGAGAGCGAGAGAGAGAGAGAGAGCGAGAGAGAGAGAGAGAGCGAGAGAGAGAGAGAGAGCGAGAGAGAGAGAGAGAGCGAGAGAGAGAGAGAGAGCGAGAGAGAGAGAGAGAGCGAGAGAGAGAGAGAGAGCGAGAGAGAGAGAGAGAGCGAGAGAGAGAGAGAGAGCGAGAGAGAGAGAGAGAGCGAGAGAGAGAGAGAGAGCGAGAGAGAGAGAGAGAGCGAGAGAGAGAGAGAGAGCGAGAGAGAGAGAGAGAGCGAGAGAGAGAGAGAGAGCGAGAGAGAGAGAGAGAGCGAGAGAGAGAGAGAGAGCGAGAGAGAGAGAGAGAGCGAGAGAGAGAGAGAGAGCGAGAGAGAGAGAGAGAGCGAGAGAGAGAGAGAGAGCGAGAGAGAGAGAGAGAGCGAGAGAGAGAGAGAGAGCGAGAGAGAGAGAGAGAGCGAGAGAGAGAGAGAGAGCGAGAGAGAGAGAGAGAGCGAGAGAGAGAGAGAGAGCGAGAGAGAGAGAGAGAGCGAGAGAGAGAGAGAGAGCGAGAGAGAGAGAGAGAGCGAGAGAGAGAGAGAGAGCGAGAGAGAGAGAGAGAGCGAGAGAGAGAGAGAGAGCGAGAGAGAGAGAGAGAGCGAGAGAGAGAGAGAGAGCGAGAGAGAGAGAGAGAGCGAGAGAGAGAGAGAGAGCGAGAGAGAGAGAGAGAGCGAGAGAGAGAGAGAGAGCGAGAGAGAGAGAGAGAGCGAGAGAGAGAGAGAGAGCGAGAGAGAGAGAGAGAGCGAGAGAGAGAGAGAGAGCGAGAGAGAGAGAGAGAGCGAGAGAGAGAGAGAGAGCGAGAGAGAGAGAGAGAGCGAGAGAGAGAGAGAGAGCGAGAGAGAGAGAGAGAGCGAGAGAGAGAGAGAGAGCGAGAGAGAGAGAGAGAGCGAGAGAGAGAGAGAGAGCGAGAGAGAGAGAGAGAGCGAGAGAGAGAGAGAGAGCGAGAGAGAGAGAGAGAGCGAGAGAGAGAGAGAGAGCGAGAGAGAGAGAGAGAGCGAGAGAGAGAGAGAGAGCGAGAGAGAGAGAGAGAGCGAGAGAGAGAGAGAGAGCGAGAGAGAGAGAGAGAGCGAGAGAGAGAGAGAGAGCGAGAGAGAGAGAGAGAGCGAGAGAGAGAGAGAGAGCGAGAGAGAGAGAGAGAGCGAGAGAGAGAGAGAGAGCGAGAGAGAGAGAGAGAGCGAGAGAGAGAGAGAGAGCGAGAGAGAGAGAGAGAGCGAGAGAGAGAGAGAGAGCGAGAGAGAGAGAGAGAGAGACACCGAGAGAGAGAAAAGAGAGAAGGGGTGAGAGAGAAAAGAGAGAAGGGGTGAGAGAGAGAGAGAGAGAAAAGAGAGAAGGGGTGAGAGAGAGAGAGAGAGAAAAGAGAGAAGGGGGGAGAGAGAGAGAGAGAGAGA